TGAACGTGAAATGCATCGTGTGATATTTTTATTAATAAAATTGAAAATCTGAAAAATTGTGCTGCTTTTCCTCCATAAAAAAAGGACTTGACAAAGAAGAAAATGTTTAATACATATGGAGTACAAAGTAATTGCATGACGCAGCTTAGAATAACCCATTAATGATCAAGCCCTGTTGAAGACTAGCAAATTACGATGGCAAGCAAGCAAAATACAAAACAACAAACAATTACTATTTATACAACACTGATCAGCAGTAACCTAAAGATCTTTCCTACAATTGCAGAAATGCACCATTTTTTGTTCCGGTTTACTTAAACAATATGCATGTCAGAACAAGAAAATGCGTAACTAGTACTACATTTCAATGAGATCTGAGCAAAGACCGCTTTCTGTGACGATATTGGTTAAATGCGAAAATTTCCCTAGTTCATTGAAGATCTTACAAATTTCCAAACATGCTTAATACAAGTCACCGAATACTTCTAAGAAACCTATAGTCTACGCCTCCTGTTGGATATGTTATGTAAGACGCGACTTGGTTACGCGTATTCCGTCGCGAACCCGGTAGGGTAACGCGCAACAAAGCAATGTCCTATAAACTACCCCAAGACATAAACCGTATCTACCTTAAGGAACCTATTATGTTGGAAATTATGCAGCTGAAATGCGTAACCAGTATTCACCCTAACTGACCACCTGAACAAAGGGACAATATGAAAACGTTGAAGGCTTACTCACGAGCTAAATCACGCGAAGTCAGAAAACGGCACAGCGTAAGCTCGTATTTGATTGGCCTTCCTAATACACAACGAAGTATTGGCAGTAATCACATTAAATGTAAAATCTCATCATTCTCTAAGGACAATTTCAATTTTCTCCTTCCACGTTTCGGCTACGAGGCGGCTTTCAGCTAGCAATGAGTAGACACGCTTCTTCGTACGCAGCTGAATGAATGTAATGTTAGTCCGTAAATAGAAACCATCTGGCGAGGAGCACAGCACACGCTGTCATTTCAAAAAAAAAACATACTCGACAGGCACTGAGCCACAATAACCAAATTTCACGATTCGAGTTATGATTTCAGATGTACGTCGTTTGCAGAAACACTTTCTACTCACACTTTTTCCATTGTTCTTTGACAATCATTGCTTGAGACATGGGCAAAGCTTCGCATAGTAAAGAGTGGAGAGTATATTCTCATGCTGAGCTCGATACCGCACAAATCAGGTTCCTTACAAAGCTCACCGGCGGCGCGGGCGCGCTCGCGTTATGATGACGTCATTTTGACGTCGTGGCGGCGGCGAGGAAACGAGCAAAAGTTAGCGCTGCCGCCAAAACTCAAATATCTTACGTACTACGAGGATTTATCGTCCTCTAACTTCATTGTGTAGTAAGAAATGGTGTAAGCTAGGAACCGTAATGAAGAAAGTGGATCGGGGATTTAATAGCTGCGTGATTGCGATCCTAAATGGGTTTCCTAAAGTAATCAAACGTCCTCAATTTTTTACTGAGAATGTCTTACGAAAGTGGTCAATACATATTTATAAATTCGTAACCTCTTGAGCGAGAATGACTTTTATACGTTGTACAACAACTCTAATTCCTGCATAGGTTGGTAAAGTGCCAGCAATCTCGTTGTCTTCGAGCGAAGTGTTGGCCACGTTTACTCGTCTTTTGTCCACAGTTGTGATGTCACCATTCCACGCGCGCTCGCGCGCGTACCGCCAATGAGCTCTTCTTTCTCCCCAAAATTCAGCCCCTCTGGCGCGAAGATACGCATGCCCTAGCCCTGACCGCACCCTTCTAAAGAGAGTCAAGACGCGCGGCAAATTGGATGTCAATCTCCAACGATTTATCTCCAACTGCCAAAGCTTGAGAATAGGATGTCGGTCTCCTCAACATCGCACCAAGCTCACTCCTACTATAATACTTGTGTTGGGTTGGAAAATACTATCGTCGCGCTATTTTTCATTTTTGGACGCAAACGTTAGAAGCAAAAAATAAAAGCGTAAAACTTATCAGTGATGTTCACCTTGCCATATTGTTTATGACTTTTGATTTCAAATTTAACGGGAAGTCAACGGTATCAAAATTTTAAAAAATGTTGGGCTCGCTGTTAGAAGTCTCATTATTTTAAATTTGCAAGAGATGAATAGCGCGTGTTTTAATTCGAGCAGTGAAAGAAGTAGCGGTCGCGCGTAGAAGCATGGTTTAATAAGCATAATTGATTTCTAAAGGAATCTACCATCAGGACGTTTTTATGGTAAACGATTGATATAGCAGTGTCGAAATGCTGATTTCTGCCGTCTGAATTTCTAGCTTCTGAACGCAATATCTGAGTACAACTACAATTCTCGAAGAAAATGACAAACAATGTTTCGTAGAGCGATAAAAGTGCTCTCAAATGACACGCGCGTTTTTTCGGTGTTTAGACTTGTGTTGATTGGATTTATACACCCGAAAAAGAACGCTGCGATATTACGCTCCACCCCAATACATGTTTATGAGGCTTAACCAGTACGTATCGAAAAAACCGGAAGCGCTTTTTATATGCGGCTATGGCATAATCATAACTCTCGTTGTCTATTTGAGTTCCTAGCAATGCCGAGGGCCTACTGTGGAATCCTTCTGGTTGCTGCTTATGGAAACAAGAAGGAATTCCACAGGTAGGCTCGCATTGCAGGAACTCAAAATAGTACTGCCAAAGATTAATGCATTTTCGGTGTGTACTGATGCAGCGCTAAAATTCCACACAGAATCATAACGGCATGTATATGTGCACTGCACGTGTGCACTTTGCTGCAATGACTACATAATGCTTGCATTAGCGGGCTAGTTCCGAAAATAAAGCAGCTACTAATAAAAGGACTGTCCATAGGTGGATAGCGTGGTTGGCTTGACTGAAGATGAAGCTTACGAGAAAAGCCGTCATTAGAAATCAATGTCAACGTAGTCAGTGGTGAAGAGATGAAGAAAAAACCGTGAGGAACGGCACAGAACAGGAGAATGGGAGCCCTTCCTGCTTCATTTGCATATTTTCAATACGTGACGCGGTCTCATTCGGGCTCCCCTCTTCAACTCTAACGCTCTGCCTGCCCTACACGGGCTAGATGCAGACGGCCTTGAGAGTGGGCATGCCGCGGCGAGCCCGCGCTTGGTTATAGTGTCATGCGTAGGCGCTGGCATGCTCTTCGCTGCAAAGTATGCATCGTCCCGCACCCGTAGGGGGCCTGTGTGCCTTTTGACTAGGTACATTTCCATTTTTTTGGCCCCAGTTCCTTTATTATATTGAAATCTATCTTTTCAAGCTCAAATCCAAGTGGTACGCTGCGCTTTTAAGTAGTTGTGTTCGATCCGTCCATAGGCCCACACACAGAAATTGGGGAGGAGGAAGAAGAGAGCGAAACTTTTGCGATGTACTAATAAAGACAAACGACCAACCTCAAGAATGGCCTTGTTCCCGTTATTCTCTACCTCTACACTGCCCACATCGCATAAGATCGATGTAACCACGGACATTCCAGATCGTGTTCAGATTCGTAGTAATACATCTGAAAGTGGCAACAATTTCCCCCAGAAACGCATGTTGAAGTGACACTAAAAAAGAAACTAGCAACTAGAGAGAAGTTGGAAACAGAACCAAACGACTACTTACTTCGTCGACGGTTCCGATTTGACCTCATACAAGGGAAGAGGCATAGATCTTCAGTTTCAGACAAGTTATTCCATTAAAACCACTTAATGGCTATTGGTTCGAGCTACAACCAGCGCCGCGGTGCCCGACGCTTGAACTTGTGCAGCCTGTTCTTGCAGAATCAGCCTTGATGTAGAGGAGCTGCCGCACGTGATGGCGTTGTGGTTCCGTGACCGATTGTTAGTGTTCGGCCGCCATTTCCTAAAGACCACATTCAAGAATCTAAGCCAATCTAGTCAACAGTTTAGCGCTTTCCTTGCTCTTATGGTGCGAAAGTAATCAGAGGCATTATCTGTGGCACAAATTCACACTACATTTTAATTCGGAACTGATTACTACCTTCAAAATCCTTACCTTCAGCTAAGTCACTAAGCAGAGTCTCACTACGTGCCACCGTCCCCTGCCCTTCAACTGTTGCTGTTCGCACTGGGGTTGGTGGCAAAGACGCCTCATGAGTGGTCGGACGAGTAGATGTTGCACGTGGATCACACGGCCAGAGATTAACTATACATTTATCATGAGCTATAACGCCACACTGACGACATCGTTGACCTGGAACATGTGTTTTACCTTCCTCACTTGAGGATGAAGATTTGCCCATTGAAATTCAAAGTTTGTACATAATTGGATGCATCAGGACTAGCGCCGTCATAGTGAAAGACTGAGATTCACGGTAATCGATATTTCTTTGAAGAAACCAATACGAGTTTCACGTGGAGGACAGGGATTTTTCATTCAAGTGCAAGGAGAGTTTCCTATACGCTTCAAGGGAATCTTTCAAGAGCCTACGAATCCAGAAGTGTCTGATATTAAGTACTTAGCTTGGGAAAACCCTTCCAGAGGTCTTTGTCAGAGGAGGCACCACAGGACTACTCAACGATTTATATTCGCTTGCTCCGAAGAGAAGCCGAAGCAATACACTGAAAAGATCCGAATAAACTCGAACCATCGACCGTCTCAGCCTTAGGAAAACTGTAAACGTGTAAGTAGGAATAGCCTGAGCGTTACGACAATATTATTGAGGCAAACATCAGCATTTACTAGGCGGGGGAGGGAGCCTTCGCAAAGTGAGCCATATTTGGAGGATTCTGTCGGACTCCGGCAAACTTCAAATTGCCAACAAAAAAAAATTTTAATTTTTGTTATCAAAACATAGACGTGACCAAGACAACTATTTGCCAAACGCCCCACCTGTTCGCACAACAGTTCCATACAGGGGAAAATGACAAAGCCCACATTCGGATGGCTGTCCACCACTGGCACCATAGTGTTCAAAAACATGATTCTTTTGCTGGAGCACATGAAACCAGTTAACGAGGATATTCAATAGTAGAGCAAGTAAAAAAATCATAACGAATAGAAATGTTTCGGGAGTTCCCGATCAGGGAGCTTACATCCATTACGCAGGTATTATGCGTTTAGAATAGCAAACCTCGTTGAAATGGTAATCAGGTTATTTACTTAGGAACAACGTTCCCCCCCCCCATTTTGCCAACGCTGATACTGGAACAGAGCATCGTAATTTCCGGTAATGCAGTGTATTCAACCATCCACTATCAAAGCAGAAATGGCGGCCGCGAGATGGAGATCACCTCGACAGTGGTCGATGGGGCACTCTCTGAATTCGGGGGCTCGTCGCCGCACAGATCGCTGGACTCGACTGAGCGCTTAGCGAGTTCAACTGTAATCGGTGAAGCGACAAGCTTACAGCCAAAATTTGTTACGTTTGTTTTGCCAACCACTTCACAGCAGTTTTGTGAGGCAAAATGACTCTGCTTTGCCCCGCTGGTCTGGAGACCTTTCGAAAGCATACACTTTGCCTACACTTCAGCATCCGTAACACATACATGTGAACTTCGTAGCACGAAATGCGGGAAAAGCAGCAGTTAGCAAAACAAGCAAACAAACAAAACTAGCTGGGTTAACACACTCTATTTTAACAACAGTACAGGGGAGGGATATAGGGATTATGCAAGATTTCTAGTAAAAAAAGAAAGGAAGATGATTTGGGGATGAGTTGTCCAAAACAGTAAATAAAATACTTTTTCCTGACTCGCCGCGATCGGACTCGATGATATTCCTCGGGCAGCATACACGAGCGCGCTCTTTAAGAAGTACCCGCGCTCACTTGCTGAGTCCCAGTCATGAGCTTTCTTCTTCTTTGTAGTCTTGCTGCAAAACGAACTTTCATTGTTAATTATTGTTGAACGCCAAAAAATATACACAAGGATCTACGTTTCGTCGTCCGTCGAACAATTCACGTTCTTCTGCAGTCTGCCATGTGTTCAGCCATCCGCCTGCACGTGGTTTCTCGAGAGGATTCAAGCGATCGTTCGTCTGCAGTTCGGTAGAGAGCTTTATTAAACTATGATTTAAAAAAATTGTTTCTTACCTGGATTAAGAAGGTAATTCCATCTTCTCTCTTCAGATCCTGACATACTATTGTGCCGTCGACTATACGAGATGAAGTGCCACCTGTAGTTACACCTTCGGAATGAGAAAAGTGTTCATCATCGCGTTCTACCAGCTCCGCTTCGGCGAGGTCTGAAAGAAACCCTGCATGTTGAAAAATGAACTCCGTTTTTGATAGATGTTGTTAGCGATCAGCCTCACTAGCCCAGCAAACCACTACGGCCACAGACTGTTCGCTGTATTGTAACACATTTATACAAACATGCAATACAAACATCTACCTACCAATATCATATGGTGAGCCGTGACTAAGCGTTTCTTCTGAGTAGAATGTCCACGTTTGAAGGGCCGCGATTGAACAAGCAGGAATCAGAACCCGTTCACCTTCAGGCGAATACAGAAGGTTATGGAATATTGTGCTCCTACACGTTTTCTCCTGAAGATGTTAACATTGCAGACTCGGAACATTTTTTATGATTACACCTTACCTTGATGTACATCCAGATGCATCCCCGATGCCCTTCCCCAGTCTCCGGAACAAGATGCTCGAGATGCACACGTTCACTTTCGCAATCCATCACAAAAGTACGAAAGAACGCTGACTGACTATGGTAAGCTAGGAATCGCAGGTAAAAGTCGTTGAATTCGAATGCACCATGAAACTGAGCCAACAACTGGAAAATGGTTTGATGCAGATTAAGGATTTTTGCAAAGTGATGGGATAGCGCTTTCATACCTGATGTACTGCATCCAAAAACAGAAGGAAAACCGGTGTTATACCACTATTCTGCGAAGAAATCGTATGATTTGCACGGTGAGAGAAACGATGACCGAATGCTAACCATTCTTTTTCTATGAGTACCTAAACCACTAAAAATATTGAACTGGGAGGAATACCCTGAATAGAAAACAAAGGCCAACTACTCAAGAATTTCGTACTTGGAAGCCTTCTATCGTACGATAATATGGGTCGAGCAGGAGTTGCGCCAATGACATCAGCTGACATGTGGTATCCCAACCCTCTTCAATACAAAGGGCAACCTAAACATGACTGCTATTTCCATCAGCTTCCAAAGTGAAAAAAAACGATGTTGGAAGTATGCTCAAGGTTAATGATAAAAAAAAAATCAAGGAATTACGAAAAAAATTACCGAAGAATTGTGAAGGGTGACGACACTAGCAATCGAAGACGCCAACGAAAGCAGGTTTGACACCTGAAACAACCATATCACAGTATAGTTGTAAATGAATCCGATACTAATCTAACCCAATATTCTAACATGAACTGCCAGAACAGGCATCTAGATTGTAATCCTCGACTTCCTCCCGCAGATCCTCCACCCCGCAGAAAAACTCCTTCTCACTACTGAGAACTTCCACTTTACTCATTTCAGCATAGCTGTCCGAGTCAGATCCTTCGCAAAAATATTGTGATAAATATAAGACATTCCCAATTTTTCATTACCCTACCAACAGTAAAACAAACACTGTAAGGCGAAAAAAGTTCGCGTACAATGTGAGCCATTCCGATTCTTCGAGGGATCGATAGAAAGTAACTGATGTCGAATCCATGAACGGTACACTTGGACGCATGACACGAAGTAGCTTTTTGAACGAAACCTTCATCTTGTATGGTGAGTGGGAAATTGTGATCGGCACGAATCGGATGTTCCTTGTCGCCACGGAGAAAATACTGAACATGCGGGGGGGCATTATGCAATTTATCTCAACCGTACGCTGCTGTAGTACAAGTGACACAGAAGATGGCAACGTAACCTTTACATTTGGCCGGACCGAGGTAAATGCAATGCCCCACCTACTGAAATTGACCAATTTTGTTGAATCCTTTTTAATAATTGAAAATCCTCCTTCAAGCTGGCGTGGTCAAATTCGCCAGATGTATGATCAAACCCAACTGAAGCCGAACAATGCCTTAACCCTACAGCACTTCGGTTAAAACGGAATCATCCGAGAGGATAAAAGGCTCCCTCAATCATGGACAGGCTCTCACAAGTTACTACACAAAAAATTAAGCGTTATTAAGCCAAAAAAGCATTGAAGAATGCTCGTTCAAGACCGAACTCCTATGAATCGTTTCATGCAATATACGATCACATTAGAGAATCCTCCACGTTGAACGAGCGGAGCGGTCACTCATCTTCGGTGATGTACAAAATATTCGCCGATAGCAATCACCTTGGAATGGCCCTTTTCCACCAATATGTAAAGATTTCTTCGTGTAAGACTTCCAATGGCATATTGCAAGGTTTTTTGAAACTGTCGATCGCCTGAAGACGTAGACGTATTCCAGGGTACAGCCGGATTTATCATCATTGAACCTGCAAATAATTGCCATGATAAATTTCGCTCTCAAACTCACTAATTCCTTGTAATCAGGAAGTCAATCACTAGGGGTGGCTCTATGGAGATAGTCACATGGAAAGCTGAGTTCATCGGGGTGCACTGCAGTTCTCCTCTAGGTCAGGCCACATCAGAAAAGGACACATCTGATTTGCTCGTGATAAGCATTGGACTGAGCCTAAGCCTAACCATAGGCTCAAGCATAAGCCAGTGTGTAATCATAAGCCTAAGCCTGAGCTCAAGCCGAAGCCTAAGCTAAGGCTTCGATCTTTGCGTAGCTCGGTGACCTGACCTACGAGGAAAACTGAACGTCTCCCAGTTTACTGTCGGACATCAATTCTTCGTGAACGGGACCTATGTGGAGTTAACCACCCAGAAATATCCAGACTATCCAAACTTAGTTCGTTCACAGCCGGTTCAAAGCGAGAACCTAACATCTTACCGGTTCAGGTTCATAGGTCATTATTCTCCATGTCATTTCTCTTTAGTTAGCAGACTAATTCTCACTGCTATGCTTATTTCTTGGTATTTGAGGGTCATTACCTTCTACTTTCTATCACACAAAAGTAAATGTGTAATATACAATCATGCTATAACACATCGCAAAAGTTGGCCCATAGAAAACCATCAAAATATCGCGTCGTACCTCTGGAACCCGGCTTCCCACCGCTGCTCCGAATAGATGTGGCATAATGCCGTCCGAAGTCTGTGGTCTGATTACGACGACGAGCATCTGGAGTTCCAGTTGCTACGGACATGCCTGAAAAAAGTTCATTCACAATCATTTCCACTGACCCAAAGCCTAAAATCTACGCACAGCTGTGAGAAGCTGTCAATTGTTAACAAGCTAGTCATGCTACCACTTGTTCCTCCCAAATCACCACTGCCCGATGGTGACACATGCGCGAGGCGGGCAAGATAGTGTTCCTGAAAGAAGTAACCCATAGAACACTGCTACAACTCAAAAGGTAGCATGCACAACTGGCGAAGCACGGGATCCAGAAGTTCACAGCCTCCCTATACTGTATCGCTAGAAAATACATAGCTCATTATGGTAACTTGGGATTCGTTTTGAAAAGAGGAACTCCTTTAACGCCACGCTTAACTTTGATGGTTGATTCATCGATACTTCAAAAAAGGGAAAGCAATCGATAGTATTCTATTTTCTCGGCCCTTTTTTTGGTCAAAAAGATAACGCTTATTTCACGGTTGCTCACGCATCGATGCCTGGAAGAGTACTGAATGCTACAACAGACGTGGACCAAAGTAAAGCATGCAGCAATAGGTTAAAGAATCGGCCGATCATGCTCATTTGTGCACTCCTTCTCAGAATGCCCGCACTTTACAACCATACTTGAAATCAACAAAAACAAAAACATTTTGACTTAATTTTTATTTACTGCATGTGTCCGGCACATGGAAGAACATAATTTCAAAGCCAACGAAAAAAAAATGATCAAGCTGGTACTTTAGGTAGCACACAAGTACTTAAAAGTTGAAAATAAAGTTATTTTTGTTTTTGTTTGTTTACTGCTGTTTGGGCGCAATTCCGTAAGCAGTTTTGTCCACAACCCAGCATTCTTGTGAAACATTCCCTCAATACAAACATATCAAAATTCATTAAAGCTTTCAGCCTTGCGATCATTGCGGATATAGGCTAACCGGAACAACACGTTATACGAGTGAGTGCCCAAAAGCTATGGTAAGTACATCATGAAGAGCTGGGTTGGGATGAAATGATGCTCCGGTAGCGTTACTTGTGCGCCTAACATTGCCCCGGTAAGCAAAAGGTGCGGGTTTGAGTCCCGTCTAGGACGGAAGTTTTGTTCATAACTCAACACTACTGAAAAACAAAACAGCCGCTGAGGAGAAAAATGTGTCAAATCTGATCGCAAATTCGAAAATCAACAGAAATTTCAGGTTGGAAATACCAAAAAATTTTCTTCGCTAATTCTTTCACTACGAAGGATTGCTTTTCCTATCTCCAAATGATACAGCAATCCCGTGTTTTTTTTTTTGTTGTATTTCATTTTTGCTTGATGAAACTTGATGGCAGTCATCAATTTTTCTTTCTAGGTCATCACGGAAGAGAGCAGTTGTTGGGTTTCGAAAAAAAGAGCAAATGGTCGCAAAAAAGAAAGAGTAAGCGCCAGTGGTCACATTGCGCGGAAGTTAGTCAAAGCTACGAAATGATAAACAATTTCTTCTTGCATGCCGTAGGAAATAAAGCTGAAAAGGACTCCGAAAGCTCCTCTTTGCTCTTGGATTATTTGCTTCTAAGATTAATGCGCCAGCTATGAAAAAAACAACATCCAATTCATCGGCGTGCTCGGAACTGATGTCTCTTTCGAACTTAATACTGAATAATGCTTGGTGAGTAGTGAAAAACTTCCAAGTCCGCTCTCAAGTGGAAAGTGAAAATGACAGTGTTTCTGAGAAGAAACCATGACAAAAACCAGGACATTTTTTGCGAGTAAAGAGAGGCTAAGCCAAGGTTGGCTTGGCTTACTGAGCATCTTAGAGGCCATTGTATATAAGCGATTGTACTATCCATTTGACCTTGGACCTTCCCGATGAATGAACAAAAACGACAGCTGATAAATAATCACTCGCAAAATGAATGTATGTAGCTCTTTGTCGCCGGAAACGAGAAGCAACTCAACTGCCTCAAACTGGTAAACTTAGAATAAGAACAAAGATGACGGTTAGGCATGAGAACAGCCCAGATACAAGGGAAAGAGTAACAGTTTGAATAAAGATCGGTACCTGAAATTCTGTACTGTGCAGCGGTCCGGCTTCACCACTATCTTTAGAGACAAGCGTCATTCGACTTCCGCCCAGAGTCGATACCGATTCGCTACCATGAAGCAAATTTGCCTAAAAAAAGAACAGCATGTGCCTTCCAACATTCAATAGCATACCTGCAAAGTAATAAGGCTGCATGAAAAAAATTAAGTATTCATAATAAAGATGACGCCGTTATCAGCAAACAAGCTCAAAGTCATGACTGAAACGCCCTGAAAGAACCGCGTGTATTTGCAAAACAGCACGAAAAACGGAAGATGACCCTCCCTACCTACTTATTTGATCACACGCCCACGCCCACAAGTCACTCGCCTCACACACGGCTAAGCAGGGAAATGCAATTTTACCTTTTTAATTTTCTGAACAACATTGCTGGTAGTGAGGCCACTTCCACGAATCAACAGGGCCCCATTTTCACTTGTCCATGTGATCACCGGAAATCTGCATGTTAAGGCCCTTCGCGATTTCAGGAATAATCGTCCCCGAACTGACACGATGGTACGACGACCACATGCAGACGCTATCTGAACAAAAGATGCATTTCTTAACGAATTGCCAAAAACTTGAGGCAGCTGACTCGAACAAAAAAGAGCGTTCCCCGAACAACCTACGTCTTCACCACATCGTAATGAGCATTAGCATGTGAGATTCTGAATATCGAATCTATTCCACGTAAACGTAGCCGCTCATAATCATAAAGGTGATGACGATGCATATCTGCCGCATTTAGAGGATTGATTATGTCAGGTACATCTGAAAGAGCAAATTCAAAGTATGGAAAACGAATGCAAGTTAACACTGACGACAGCGTGCATTTGGTTTTTTTTTCGGCCACAAGGACATGAGCAGTCCGGCAGGCCCGGTCATGGACTGCGCCACGCGCACCCTCATTGTCCAACAAAGTGCGTTTTTGCTGGAACCAAAACTGAAAACCGCCGAAGCAAAGCAAACCAATGGGAATTGCGAGAGAGGCTTAGGCGGGTCTGCGTTCTCTGAGCGAGATAGTGAGAAAATTAGCGCAAAGTAAAAAGTCGTAAACCAAGGAGAATACATTCAATACACGGAAGCGAAGAATAGGGAAAGCTACCCGAAATTTGTGAAAAGCTGGAGTGCGCGTCCACACCATCTTTCTCAAAGCGCATTCAAACGCGCGAGCGTGCCAACTCTAACCTTTCACTTCTGGAAGCGCACAAACCAACAAGGTTCACGGTCATATGTATTCAAGCAATTCTCCACTTAAACAAGGCAAAATTCGGCCAGACCCACCTAATAAGCCCTTAAAGTGGCTAGAAGTGCATGGGACGCAGCTGCAGGCGACTCGCCAAGTTCCCGCATCCAAATGCGTCACTAAGGCGCTAGGGGCCAAGGACTTTGACACGCTCCTCCTGTTGCGACACGCTCCGCCCACCGCTCGATATCTTGTCTGCGTCGCAAATTGATTGATCTGCTATGCTCTCTCTTCTCGGATCTCTCTACCGCTCTCCGCGCTCACATTATCTCTCATCTCCCTGCCGGCCTTTTGAACTTCTCCGCAGCGTAGAGCAAAAGGCTCGTATTTCCTGTGTATTTCATGATTTTTTTTCCTTTTTTCTCCACTGGCGGTCCACCTCCCACCCCTACGTCACATTTGAGTAGAATTACTTCACCCATCTGAGCCTGAATCTTGCCTTTAGAGCAACGGTCCCACCAGGGTCTCTTATTCATGCAATGCCCTCGGCCGATTCGCTAACACGCCACTTCAAAGCCGTCAGCTCCCTTTTTAGCGGCAGCCCATGGTGAGTTTTTTGTTCAGTTGCACTTATTCGGTTCTTGACTAGAGATAGCTCATCGTTCCACACCATTAGTGTCGAAGGTGAAAATCCTGACTGGTACTGTTTATTTAATGACCCATATAAGACGTACCATTAGTTAGGACTACATAACAACCCAAATTCACTTAGAATTAGCTGCGCATGCGCAAAAGGGACGCACAAGGGTGAGACGCGCACGCGGCTCACTAATCAAGCCAATGTGTTAAACCACACTGACCCGGACAGATCCCAAAATAGTCACTATGTGCAAAAAAGTGTCCATTCTCGCAGGTGGTAACGCCTTCAGTGACGGATTAAGCAAACGTGATGCCATTTACCATGACAAATCTAATCGCCGGCGACTTGTGGACCCTGGAAAATCCTAGGATGAAAATTCCCACAACCAACAAATCAAACCATACGCGTCCACTACAAGAATGTTGGGAGCAAAACTGACTCTGCCGGAAACCCGCAAAAGTCTCTGAGCTCATCTAATGGACTGTACTATTCATTCCGATCCAGCTGTAGGTTGACGTGAGGAGATGACTAACAGTATTGTATGCGAACAAAGAATGAGGTAAAACATTTGGCCAACGAAGACTTGACAGCGCCTTTGTGAACGCTTCAACCTCGTCACCGCGAACCTGTAAAGTTGAGAGAGGGAGTTTCACTTGAGTAATCATTTTGTACTCCTACTGACTAGTATAGGGCGCCATTCGTTGCGGGACCCACTGCCTTAACCCGCGGGGATCCCATGTGATCGCGGTTGAATTCGAACATTCCAGCTTCTCACGCATGTCAAGTGACTGCCCTCACCCCCCACCCCCCTAGACTGGCGACACTGCCCCTGGCTCACGGATTCCCCGCTCCACATTGAAGGGTTCACTGTAGCAGGAGGCAGTGGGACCCGTAACGAATGGCGCCCTTTACTAGTCAGTAGGAGTACAAAACGATGGCCCGATTCCTTTTACCCCAAATCAGCAGCTAATAGACAATTACCTCTTCATCGAATGCAACTTTAAGCAACTGGAAACAAGAGGAGCGCATTTGGAGACCGTCATGAAGGCCACTCGCTAACTGAATTCAATCTGACAATTATATTAAAACCATAATAGATGCGTTACGAGTGAACATCGTAAGTGTAGCGAAAGAACAGTGCCTAAACTGCGCCAGCATGCAAGAGTGTTCGAGTAAACACGTATTCGCATAAGTACAAAAGAGAGCATTAATCATTGATCGATGCATAATGCGTTCCCGCGCACAGGCATCCGTAATTGCGATTAGTAATACACTCGTGAGATGGTCTCAAAAAATGCCAGAACAGATTCTGACACTATCGGTGCACAACATACGTACTATTCTGCACTTACTAATTACCCCGGCGAGAAAAAGAAAATGCAAGAGTGCATTCCACTTTGGGTTCGAAAAGCTTCTCCTCTGGTATAGCCAATTCGCAAACAAGCACTTGATTACCATCGACAATGAACTGACATGGTGCACGCAATCAGATTGATTATCACTGAAGCTTAAAGTTGCAAGAGGACAACTAACAAAGAAAGGAGCAATACTTTTGTTTAGATATCTTGAAAAATCTATCCTCTTAACAAGTAACACAAGCACGCAACACCCAAAATAAGGCTTGTAAACTTCAAACTGTGAGCCGGTTTCCAGAGTCCGCGATCTGTCGTTCGCTGTTTTCGCGAATTCACAGCGATTTTGCGACGCGATTTCGCGGACAGCTCGCGAATCACAAGCTGTTGCCGCTCATACTGCAGATTCGCCCATCCCGCCGCCCTTTGCTCCTTGTTAATTAGGATGTGAATGGCGACTGCTCCATGATTTTTTCATATTCAGTTTTCAAATTCAAAATGAGGCACTTGCAATTTAAATAAGCGAAACCTGCGACGGATCGCAGACTTTGACACCAGCCTAAGAAGAAAGAATTAGCTAAACACTAGTATTCAAGCACACCTTCGAAAGGAATGCCCATGAACCGAACCTCAGAATGCAAACTTTGATCACTTATGGTCTTCTCCTTTGTTAACGTCATTACCGGTACAGACCTAACCACAACATCATCGGTCACTGAAACATTTCCTTTTGATAATCGGATTTCTTTTTACTTCGAAACATAACTTACGGAATGGATTCGTTGGCCGCCCTTTGAAAATGATGCGGTAGTTGGTGAGGAACAAGGCTCCCTCAGCTGGGAGCAGATTCATGCTGTTCGGGGCTGTCTGCATTCATTGGACGTCTCTGGGAAGCATGAACGCAACGCAAACCACGCAACGATACACGTTCGCATGGAGTAAGTAGGACCGTTTAATAGTTGGACTATAAATGGGAGTATCGACGTGTGCAGTTAAAATTCCAGAAGCACATCAATTTTACCTTGCGAAGGAGCAGAGTTTACGTCTGGCTCTGCAGACTTGCTCGAGATTATCTATGTGCACAGCGACAAATCCAGGTATGACTTGGGTCAGTTTCTCCGTGAGGCGAGGATCAAGTCCAGCAGCCGAACATATCCGATCGATAAACACGAGATTATCCATGTGACAAACTATCGCATAGTATATCACTGTTTTCAAAAACACACGCCAGAGTACACTCATTTTCGGGAAACAAAAGGTGTCGATGCAAGATCACACATACACAATGCTACGGCCCAGGAAAAGCCGCTTTATCCATGGCCGTCCGTCCTTGGGTGGCGTGGCTGCACTCGAGCGTGCCCGTTTCCGAAACAGTAGGGTAAACAAAACTTTGTTAGGCTGAGTTGTGGAAGTTGCGATGCGGAACGAACACCAGGGAGTCGAATGGTTCATTTCACGAATGAAACACATCTATATACTCTCTCACTCTCTATCATTCACCTCATTCCAATCCTCTTCCATAGTCCTTTTCCATCCGTACCTCACTCCCTCACACCTCCCCTTACTTATTGTTAGTGGCCCTGCGGTCACTCCCACCAGTGGAGGTGACGTCGCCTTTGCGAGTTTGGAAATCCGAGCTGACCAAGGTCTTCCGATTATTGCTATAGCACAAAACACCTCAGCCATACCAGACAGAGCCGCCTCCCACTCTTATGCCGGTCGTTGCTTGAGGGGGTTTGCGAATAGCCACCCCCTGTAGGCGGCTATTCGCAAACAGAAGGGAGCTGTGGAATGTGAGTGGGTGAGTAGTAGTGTAAAAGGGCAACGGAAGAAGACCAGAAAGGAGCAAATGAGAGTGAGGGAGTAAATAAATGTGTTTATTCGCGTAATCAATCATTCTACTCTCCAATGTTCGTTCTGCATCGCAACCGTGGACAAAGCGCTGACTATGAAACTGCATAAAGATGCGTTGCGTTGAAATCTGAGGCCACTTTATATCGCCGCTAACGCTCGCATATCAATACAACGACAATTTCTTTGAGATGCGGCCATTCCTTGGCATGCCTCATCACCTGGCAATAACGCATACCAAATTCGAGGATAGCGGAGTAGTGGGAGCGATGGCAGCTAGCCGACCTATACCCGACACCATACTCCTCGTCTAATGATGGTCTTTATACATTGTGGACCGCAACTGGCTATCACCCCATTGTGACTCATAATAGGCATTGAGGTCTGCGGCTCACGGTCGTCACGTCGGTCACGAGGATTGGGGGTGCGTGACGATTCAATCGTGGCAGTAAGTAGGTCGCCGCGCCAGCCGCCGCAGCCAGCGATATCGCGGCGAATTTGCAAAGAACTCAGCATCCAAACATTGGGGAATGTAAGATTAGATGAAGTAATCAGCCATGAAACATGGAATAGGAATCCCCTTTCCCCTTAAAATGCACCTTCTTTGTCCATTGCCATGAACCAGATCATCACTCTCTGATAGGAGGAATCTAAGCGGCTGATTAGTAAAGAAGTCCAATTAAATTCAAAAGGACAAGGTTTACATGGTACAACCTTTGTACTGTGAGGCTTAAATCACTGCGGAGATCTTAAGGTGACGCTTGCTGGCTTACTGATGTCCAGCACTCTGGTGTTATCAGTCACCTAGCCAACTTATGGACATGGATGGATAAGAAAAGGTCCACACAGAAATCGCCGCACCAACTGCCGCGCGCGACGATTCTCGCCGCGTGAGCGGCGTGACCTCATTAGCCGACGATTGAATTGACCGTCTCCCGAGGATTGGTATAGTGAAGCAGTTCTGGGCATTGATAACGGCGGTAAGTGTGGTAGTCGACTTGCCCTAGGAGTGATCTAGTACTCCATGTGTGGGTTCCCCATTAGAGCTCTAGCTGAGGCTCACTGTAACTGAACTACAGCTACGAAAAAAAATGTTTGGCACTCCCCACCACTCTCCCCCATCCCCTCCCTCCCTCCCCCCCCTTCTCCCCCTTTCGCTCACCAACCACCACCCGTGACAGTTTAGCTAAGAAATATTTGCGAATGTTCACTTGCTATAATCGAAGATTTTCAGAAACAATATTTTGGAGCATACACCTCTAAACACATGAAGCTCATACCTCTTCATTGATATGAAAAACAATTCAGATTCACTTACCACATTTCCTAGATCTCCGTCGTTGACATTCTCGATGAATCCTGACTCACCATCAGATTCGGATTGAGATTCAGTCTGAAAAAATTATTTCAAAACATGGACTTTTTTCTAAAACATCTCCACTCAAAAATGTAAAAAATATAGCTTGGCCTCAATGTAGTGCGCGCATGTCAAAACATAGAATAGTTGCGGTTTCACAGAAGTGAGTGACATTGACAATGGAACGAAAAACCCAAAAGTGGCAAATGTCTCCACCTTACTCCCCCCCCTCCCCTTGAGATCACTTTAATAGAGTTCTATATTCAAATACAGTATCGTATATACACCATTTAATGGTAAAACTTCTGCCCACAAATTTCTGAACCTGACTAGCGAGGAATACAAGATAACGACAAATAAATTGTGGCACAGAAAAGGACAAAGCATTAGGAAGTGGTCAATACTTTCCGTGCGCGCCACGAATTCCACTTCAATCCAGAATCGGAATGTAATCTTGAAAGCGATTTCGCCTGAGGCCAAATTTTGCGTGCGGAGCCAGCCGGTGTGGAAGACAGTTTTTATCGTCACAGACAAATATGGTACCAATTCACCGAAAGTCATGGTCGGCCTAGATGGCTTATGATACAAGATCTGATTCCGAAGGCAAGCATCGTCATCTACAGTACTACTTCCGACCGTAATAAAAGAAGTAACAGGTAATTACAAACGACCAACATCTCGTTGATCTCGAAAATTCCCGCGCAATTCCAAGTCGTTCTTGTCGATTCGACGTAGTCTTGACGCATCAAGTGGAACCCTCAGGTAGATCATCAGATTCACGTAATGCTTAGCCTGACCATGCACTATAGATTCCTCCTGAAATATTTGCATAAGTTACACCCTACAAACTAGAGACAAAGCTTAGTGAAACCTCTTCACTGCACTTCGCCAACTCTTCATCCGAAAACTCGGAGAGACTGCTGAGCCGAGCAGCCGACAAGTGCCATAGCAGTCGGTTCCTCCAACAAGTTCCACATATCGTGATGACTCTGAAGCAATTGAAATGCGCACTAGGCAAAGACATGTCAGAACAAAGTTGAATTTTTGGAATGTTTATTTCAAATTTTTAGATATGACAAGGTTGAGCTATCCCCGACCCTCATGTGTCAAATAAGATCTCGGCGTCATCACAAGATACGGAGGCATTGCGGTGACAACGCACTTGAACCGCGTAAAACATCTCCTCTTTGTTGAAAACAGGACTGTTCTCGGACTAGTCTCGAACGGGAAGGGAGAGACTCCATGGTGCATGAGTATTTTCATTTCTTTTGGAATTCCTAGACTTGGTCCAAAGGATAGGAACCAAATTCTGACGTAGTAGCCTTAGGCTGGTGTCAGAGTCCGCGATCCGTCGCAGGTTTCGCGCGATTCACGCGGCGGGTCACAGAGATCACAAGTGCCCGATCAATACTGCAAGGTGTTCTCCAAATCCGCCTGCCACTTCCGTTTATGGTAATGGCTGAATGACGATTGCTCATGTCCCACTTTTTTTATATTCAGTGTTTCAAATGTTCAAATGGGGCACTTGCAATTTTTGCGATCCGGCAACCTTAACTGCTAATGGATGCGGAACTCTGACACTGCTTATTTGTTAGATAATTATATAATTGTTACTGCGAGATATTTTGACACTCTGTAGATAAGACGAGCATTTGCTGGTCTTTATCATTGCTTCAAAGCAGATTGTAGATTCCATTATAAGTATTATTGTGACAGCACTTCGATTATCGAAGACGATCTACAACTCCTACATCTTAAATTTAATAAATGCACTTGACTATCTTAAATACGCTTTCCTGAGAGTGGCATATTACTGTCATGCTGGTTTCCGTAATGGCGTCGCATGAGCTCATGAACGTCATGAAAGAATGCAGCCTCCCAAAAACGATGATTACTCCACACTGAATGATCCTGCATCACGCAATGTGTAAGGCGTACTGCTGAACCCTTGAGGAGTCTCTAAAAAGTGATGCAATCGCTGGCTGACAACAACTTCAGTCTGCTGAATGTGACCTTACTCGCCCCGTATATAGTTTTCGCCAGAATGTAACAAGCGTATGCAAATTTCCGTGATCATCTCGTCGACTACATGCTAAGGATACTGGATTAAATTCGACAAATAGGTAAAGCACACAATAATTCAGAAGAACGAGAAGAAGAATCATAGCTAGGGTACCTTCAAGTCCAGTTTCAAAATCGAACGACGAGTTCGAATTGGGCCGGCTGAACGATGTGCCGTGTAACTAGCTCACAGCTCAATTGCAAGCTGAACAAAGAGACTACTGAGAAGCGACGTACACAAAAAAAACAGCTCACAGGAACATCATCTAAGAGAGAATATTCAAATGGTCAATCTCAGCAACGAAGAAAGCAGTGCAAATCGAATCCAAAACAAGCTAAAAAATGTATAATATCGGCTACAGCTGAGTCGCCTTTACTGCGATTTGGTAAACGGCTCAAGTTATGTTTGACTCTAAATAGAAAGCTACGGTAAGTGTACCACAGTAAGCTAGATTAAGAAGAAGCGATGCTTTGGCGATACTCTCGGTAACATAACTGATGCTACCGGAAAGCAGGTGTGGGTTAGATTTACGCCTGAGGGCAAAGCGCTGCAATATTGACCCACTCCTTGTTTTGCTCCCATAGAACAACTAATATATCGTTGTTCTTTACCAGAATGATGTTGGCGAATAGAACTCACCTTTCTTGCTTCAGACATGCGATTGTCGAAGATGGCATCCACACAAGCACTGAGAACCTAAAATATGGTCAGGCACTTTATCAACATCCGAATAACTATGCAGTAATCCAGTTTTATAGGAATAACATTATTGTTGAAAAGAACTGGTAAAGTGTACGAACCAAAAGTCGCCGACTATTTGCACCAATATGCTCCTCGAACAGATTTAGCTTTTCAGGAACCGGTACTACCTGAAGATTCGACACTCCCATAAAATAGCAAGGGATATAAAGATTTTGTAAATTCGCAATAACTTGGCCAATAGCGTCACACCCGGATCATACAGGTTCCAGTGAAACGCACGAATTCTGCTCAATTAGTGCGTTGATCTGCAACACAAATAGGTATTACAATGAAACAGACATTTCTAGAAAAATTTGGTATTCATACAATAAATGCTATAAAACGGTCAAGTGGCCGAGTGGAGTCGCATGTAATGGTTACTTGCCATAGATCTGATGATTGAGAGATTGCATGAGTAACGTTTTTCCATATTTATACACTGCGTTTCATAAATATAGGTCCACCCTAATTTTTTGCTATTCCAAAGTTGCTGTGCATTTTTGGAAAATGCCGCTATTACCAATAGTTTCCCCATAACGAAAAACCTTGATACTTGATTTCTGGAGAAATCTCGATTCAGAATTATTAAAATATCTTCCTTAGAACGTATTTTCACCGTTTCGCAAATATGACTACACATCACTTGTCGAGAGATTTTACTATAACGAAAAAACGTCACGAATTTTCAATAATGGGATGACCCCCAATAATCATAAGGAACACAATAATACGTTTTGAAATGCTGGTAGCCAAATTAGCTATTACAGTAGGATCGAAATTCGTCTGGGCGCCGATGATCGACCTTTTCAGCTTTTCGGCTGTTCCATTTTGCTTTACTTTGCTGTGGAACTTTATAACAATTAAGGCCCAATGATTCTCTATTGGAATCTAATTCAGATAACATGGTGGCCACCAGATAACTGCCACATTTTTTCCTGCAATTCCATCTGGCGCGGAGGGACCGGCATGGACAGCCGCGCGTTATCGTGTGTGAAAATCAAGGATAGAGGGGATCCTTGTTGAAAAAATGGTAAGACTCGCTTCGAAAGAACTTCACGATACCCTGTGGAATCTTTGTGAACGGAAACAAAAGCGAGCTCTAGCTACTCAGTCGTTCAAAGGTGCCTCAAACATAGACCGACGTCATAGTCGGCGACGGACCAAGCGATGGAGCGATCGCGATCGCTCCATCGCTTGTCCGTCGCTTGCCAATCGCTCTCGGTCGAGCGATTGGCAAGCGATTGCGCAATGTGCACAAGCGACGGGCGATTGGCCCCGCCCCCAGTCAATGCGGTCGGCTGCGGTATCGATCGAGCAGAGCCATTGCCCGTCGCTTGTGCACTTTGCAAGCGATTGCGCAATCGCTTGCCAATCGCTCGACCAAGAGCGATTGACAAGCGACGGACAAGCGATGGAGCGATCGCGATCGCTCCATCGCTTGTCCCGTCGCCGACTATGACGTCGGTCTAAGAGATACCACCGCCGAAAATTTTTTTTCTTATACGAAGTTTATTACGTTACATTGAAACCATCTGCGATTTTCACGCGATCATCCTGTACCCTCTTTTTCTGCCATATCCACCTAGAATAAACTTTTCCACGTCGATCTCAGACCACCTGTAGAACGAAACAAGGAGGTAGAGTCCAAGATCGCGAAGGGTCTTAACAGCCACACCATCGCTCATTAAGTTGAGCCCTTTTCCACGGAGAAATGGAGACTTGCGATCTTGTAGCGCTCAAATAATCTTGGAACGCTCTTCATCAATCGTTGTCATCAATCCGTTGAAGATGTTATTGCTCTGCTGGCTTACTCACCACACGGTGGTTTTGCTCACGGAAGGCCGCATTTCAGTACGGACTTTGTTCGGACTCCTTGTATAATTCGAGAGAAGACACCCAATTCCTCCTAAATTTTGAAGGAAACGCAGTCTTTATTTACCTAAGCGACTCTTCTCTCCGCACTGACCAGGATTTTGCACATAGTCGCTTATGCAGTATGAGCCGGCCGACATGGGAGGAAATTCTGCTCCTCAGCTATCCCACTTCAGTAAGTGCTCTAGCTTGAGCTTGTTACTGGGAAGAGAGGCGAATAACACGAGGTATGGTAAACTCGATGTCGACTGAGCCCACATATTTCCCCGCTTCCCTGATTCCCTTCACGGATCGTGAGAAATGGAAACTTTTTATGAGTGGCCCGATATTCATGAAACGGTGAAAATTCGTTCTAAAAAAGTTAATTGGGTTACTTGAGGGGGGAATTTGTCAGAAAAACACTATGAAGGTTTTCCGTGATGAGGAATCTAACGGTGATAGCAGCATTTCCAAAAAATGCACAGCAACTTTGGGGTAGCAAAAATTTAGGGTGGACCTATAATTATGAAACGCAGTGTATATTGCAAGGCAGCAACTAATGAACAATCACAAAAAAAAACGAATGGAAATGCTCTCAAGAATATAGATTTACGTAAAAAAGATTTCGTAGTCCCAGAGACAACTGAAGCCTTATAATAGTGCTTCCATAAAGCTTTGGCTTTGTATAATGCCTTATTCTCCGTCAATTTAATTTACTCTTTCGAAAAATTCTACGCAAGCAATAAGCACTTGATTTCACGTCGCAACAAACCACGACCGCTGTGCGCCCGCCCGGTGTGAAGATAATGAGGTGAGTTAGCAAAGTAATGATTCAACCACTACTTACCCTTTCGTTACTCAGTGGCCTGAGCGTAGCGCCATCATTAGCTGCTGCGTGATCCCCGTTCGCACACATAAGGACGTTCTTTTCGAGAGATTCGGAGTTGTCGTCATTATACGCTCCTGTTTTTCCTAGAAATATCTATGTCTTCAGTAAATGAACATTTCAATCAATACGCCGACATCATTGTCTGGGGAAAAAGCGAGCAGTAACGCCATTAAGATCTCTGATGAAAATTTTCATAGCATGGTTAAGAGCCGGGAAGTTCGGAGCATGCGCTAACTAAATTCGCCAGCTCTAATCCATCACTGTTTGGTGCAGCGATATCGTAAAATCTATGATTTAACGCTGACTACTAAAAAACTATGAACTCTCTTTCCGACAGACTTACATTAATCAACAGTGAAGAGCTTATCCTTGAAATCCTTTGTTTTTCCTCAGAAGAATTCAGGTCATCGTTCTCCGCCGTTGTTGAGCAGACCACCTAAATCCATAGCTTTACCTTGATTTACCAAATTTGATACATCTTAGAGACCATCCCTTCCAGGACATCTCTTGATGAATCGACTGAAGCCGTGAGCGATCGCAGTAGCTTATCGCGATACATATTTATGCCGGCTTTGTTGTTTATACACAGGCGAAATCAGACAGCACAAACCTCGTCAAAAATATCACATTCTCTGAATGGCAAACCCCGGGTGGCAACAAAAAGCTGGAACATTTGACCTTCAAGGAGATCGTGAAGAAGAGGTGACTTGAGATGCCTGTAACACTTATACTGTGAACACAATAGAAAGAATCAAAAACTAGTAAGAGCAGCTCACCTCATGCCCATGAATGCTGCCTTGTGAAACACAATCAGAGGATGACGATGGAGGCGAACAAGTTCAAGGCACGAACGATACCCGTAAAGCAGTTCGGAGAAGAACAGCACAAAACAGGCACGGATTTCTTTGTCCTGAATGGAACAGAAAATAATCTTCCATCGACGTCTTGTAGGACAACACTTCAATTTCCGAACGATGCTGAGCGTTCAGCCTGCGCAGCATCGATTGAGAATTTAAACACAACTATACTCCAGCTATAGGCTTCATCACTAGTACAACGAATAAGCGCCACCAAGCCCACTTTCTAAGGGAAGGAACTTTCCACAGTCATTCAAAATTCTATACGAAGAAGATTATTCCACACAAAATTATATAATTCAGACTGTTACCATTCCGCTGTCAATGAAAAGTAGATCCTGAGAGTAAAGAGTGCTTTGGCTAAACTACTAATAGACTTGATGAAAGCGAACAAAGTTTACCAGTAAATGAGGCTCCAGCGGTGGAGGTAAAGCAGCTGGAACAGCCAGATCAGCAGTTGCCAGCTCAGGACTAAGCACCTGAAACTACACTACAGCATGAAAACGCGAAAAATATCACATCAACACGACGTACCCTTTGTAGGCGAGTTACTAGACGTTCACGGAATGGTGATGGAAGTTCGGCAAGATGATTATTTTCTGGCAAACGGACTTCTCCTGTGTCTAAATCTACCACCACGGCATCTACATTTGGGAGCTGAAAACGAAACAAGCGTCATTTTTAAACTTATTCGAAGCCTAAAATAAATCATCCCACAGTGAAAGTCAAAACAAACCTTTTCTCTGACTTGTGACAGCACACCCATTAGATAAGGTGTAGGACTTTCTAAATACTCAAGCAACAACTCAGGCAGGGCTGTTACGAAGGTATACCTGTGAAAAGGAGGAATGCGGTTTCCGAAGTGAAATATAAAAACAGTGTAGTTAAAGGTAGCAAACTGAAGGAGAAATTGAGGTATGAAATCGGGATGAGATTTCCGAAACTTCTTAGGGAAAAACGGAACAGACTAGGCATTACTTCGTTTTTCGAAATTTCCTCGAGTGAACCCTCAAAACAAAAGGGACGAAAGAAATGGTAGTGGAAAAATGGAAGTGGGAACTCTTAGCCACTCCATTTCCACCCAACAAAGCAATAAACACAAAACACCACGTAGATCTCATTGAGAAGGATACCCGAAATCTCAATAAAAATTTCGGAAACTACTGATATTGAAACTCACGTGTACTCGAATGGAAATATCAAGGATTTGATGGCATATGCTGAATCAGAAAGGCGCTGTTGGGATGAACTATGCAGTATAATTTTAGCGTCACATAAAACGGCTCTCACCACGGTTAGTAAATTATGAATAGAACCTGCAAATCAAGTATAGAGAGGAGAGACCACAAGTAACAACAAATCGCGAAAGCG